CATATATAGTTACGGTACTTTTGAGATCGGTTAAATTTTAATCGACTTTAAAAATACTTTTAAGATTAGTTCTTCTATGACCAATCTTAAAAGTCACGTCTAATCAAGTATTAAAAAAAACAATTTTATATATCACTTTTAAGATTGGTTCTTTTGTAATTGATCTTAAAAATTGTGTCAGACATACCTTTTAAGATTGAACATAGAATAATCGATCTTACAAATATTTTTAAGGTCGATTAAAATTTAATCAATCTTAAAAATGATCACAATATTTACAAAATAGTTATTACATCATTTTTAAGATTAATTATTATTTAATCGATCTTAAAATTCTAATTTTAAAACTAATTTTTCACTAATAAATAAGTAACATGTAAAGTTTTTTAAGTCAAACAATAAGCTCACCAACTTTACGAGCTATGACTTAGCGAATGTAGTCCAGTTAACTAATTTCACAATTGTAATTTATACCAGAAAAGCACTTTAATATGGTAATTTATAATTAATTTCATCCTATCCTTCAACGCGAAATTGTATTTAATTTTATCGTATATTTCTGTTCACATTGAACAATGATGTATGTCGCCAAGCCTTTTTTTATTTATTTTTTTTCAATTTTGAAAACTATTTTTGGGAACACGATATAATTACATTTTCAAAAGGTACTCTATATATATATATATATATATATATATAACATTGGTTTGTTAAACTTCCGAAAAGCTCTTAAAGGTTAACAAAAAGCATATGTTCCATAATAAAGTACGTTATCAAAGAGTTTTTGTTAACATTTCATATATACTTTTATATATTACTTCTAATATTATTCTTATTTTTTAATTCACTAATTTATTTTAAAACTTAACTTTTTAAAAAAAAATATTTAAACACTTATAATTACTTTAATATATTGCTTTTGATGTTTAATATTTTAAAATACATTATAAACGTTTAAGTAAATTCCAATATTTAAAAAAAAAAAAAACAACCGAGTACATTTATCCTACATTTATTTGGTGGAAATATATAGAATAAAGAAATGAAGAGGAAATAAATAAGGTGTAAATACTAAATTCTTAGTGTTTATTTGAAAGAATAATTTTTTTTTTCTCACACGTAAAAGCATTTTCCTTTAAGTTTCCGTGAAATAGAAGAAAAATATTTATTGGATTAAGTTAAATAATTTTTATACCATAATAATAATAAATAATTTTATGTTAAGAAAAATCATATAGTAAAATTAAAAAAAAAATTCAGTTAATTATTTTCATTAATGTAAAAAAATATTTTTATTTTACTTTTTTGTAATCATGTTATTATTTTACTTTCAAATTACGTTTAAATTAAACATAATTTATTTTTTATTTCACCCATTCTTTCACTCATTATTATTATTTTTTCTTCTTTTAATCTATCCAAAACATATGTCTTATATATTCTATTTCTCTTTTTTGTTTTGACTTGTAAATTGTAATGTAAGTAGATATTAGATTTATTATTATTTTTTGGTTATATACATATTGTTCTAGCTTTATTTGACTCTTTTCAACACGCTATCTAAATTCTCAGGACGTGAACATGGTATGTGCTGTTTCTTTTCACTACACATCGTATTTCTTTCTGAGCTTAGCTTAAAGTTGTTGGCATGAACACTGAATTCTTCAACTTCGCGTCAATATAGAGAGAACAAAAATTGGACAAATATTTTGGGTCTAGAAAGAAGACATTTGACGAAGCAAGAATGAACATTGAACCAAAAGATTAGATTGTGTCTGTGTCAGTTCTTCTCCCCAAGATATAGTACAGAATCCATCCAACCCACCAGTAACTATATTTTATACACTTGTGTATATATCATTTACTTTCGGTTTGGCCATATCTCCACACGTGAATACTATCATATGCATTTGTTTCATCCTCGAATATTAGTACCGAGGGGAAAACAACTAAAAGTTACAACGATTTACTAATGGATCAAATAATTGAAGTACATCTTTAATCGGCATGCACATAGATTATTTTGGAGAAGTTTACATAACTTGTTGAGAGGAAAAGGTAGAAGAAATTAACGTGACTTGGGTGGGGGGTCTAGCGATCAGAAGAGAGGAGAGATATTTTAGTATATTTGAGGTGCCATTTTGGATATTTAATTGAAGGAATATATGAGTGTGAGGGGCAAAGGTTTACAGTGTAGTCTGAAATTACAGACAAATTGGCCTCCCATCAAGTGAACAAATTAATTTAGAAGATGAGGGATGTTGGCATGGCGACAAGACGAGAGCACATGCCTATTCTCATAAGTCATATCTTACTATTTCTTCAATCTATGCTCAGATAGTCCATGCCACCGTATTTCTAGCTAGCACTATAGCAGGTAGCAATATGCATGCTCTTTATTGCCTCAAATTCACGCACGAGTTTGTTTGTTATGTTAAGAACTACTACATTAGTAGTATATATCTTCAGCTTACAGGTAATACAATTATAATTGGGTCCAAAATATCATTAATATGTTCAGATTAACTTTGCTGAAAACATTTCTTTTTTACTCACAAACTTTAAACTTAAGCTTTACATAAAGGAAATTGAATATAGTATTTTTTTTCTTCCAAAACTACAAACCCAATCCACAAATTAGGTTATTTAGCTCTAAACCTTTTATATAAGCCCGTAAGCACATTTGTTAAATGGAGTCAACCAAGAGGCATATGACAAACGAGATACACATACACTCAAAGGCATAGGATTGCATCTCGATTTAAAAGCAAATTTACCCTATTGCTACATTAAGACAAAATGTCGCTGCCCACAAGGAAGCAAAATTATTTATTAATATGATTATTATTTATTAATACAAATTCAAAATACTTGTTTAGATATTATATCAATTATAATTTGATCGAGTGTAAGAACTAATTGGCAACATTCTCAAATTTTAGAAAGCAAAATTTGCAAAAAACAAAAAAAAACAAAAAAAAGTTTAAAAACATGCACACAAACACAATGCAAATAAGCATAATGAACCATTTATATTATAATGTACAATTGTTGGAGGCGCACACATGCAACATTTTCAAAATTGGGGTCAAAATCTATTAAAAAAAATTACGGCAAAATTCGCAGTTGTGTTAATGTTTGAGGACATAAAATACGATGAAACTAATTATTTTAAACCATTTTATTATCGTATTCTCATAATAAAGTTAAAATTTTTATATTCTACCACATTTGTTTTATATATGTTCTTTTTTCGGTCAAAAAGAAATTATATATATATATATATATAAAAGAAATCAAACTGATCTTGTTAATTTGTTTAAATATCCTCTTTATTTACAAACTATATTAGACCATGTTGATTTTATAATACAGTTGAGAAGTTTAATAAATTACTTTAATTCAACGGTTTACTGTGTTTTCTTTTATATGTTGTAGAAATAAGATTGTAGTGTATTGGGGGGAGAAATTCTATGATATCCATATTATTTGAGAGGGTATCGATACAATTTTTTATATTTTATATTTTTAATAATTTATTTAAATAATATTTATGATATTTTATTCTTTTAATTTTTAAATTATTTAGTTATTTTATTTTTATTTTATATATTTTAATTTATTTGTAATATTATTATATATTTAAATAGTTTAATTTTAATAATTTTTTAAATATATTTTTATCTTTTCACTTAAAATTTTTGAATTTCTATATTTTAATTTTAATAATTTTTTAAGTATATTTTTTTGTATTTTTGTCTTAAATTTTTGAATTTCTATATTATAATTTTAATAATTTTTTATTTCTATATTTTATTAATATTTTTCTTTTTTTAACATTTTATAATATTATTAAAATCTTATAATTTTATCTTATTTTTTATTTTATAAGTATAATTTGGATTATTTATTTTATAATTAAATTAATTTTTTAAAAAAAAAAATTATGAGTTCTTATAAAAAAATATATTGAAATTTCTCACTTTGAAAGTACGATAGCAATTCTCAAATAATAGTAGTACCGAATATCCGACGTGGAGATGAAACGGTTGACGAAGCAGATGGAGATCACGTGTCAGGTGTTGATGTCATCACCGTGCCCTATCGTAAACGCAACCACCGCAAACCTGTCAGATAATCACGTGGATTTCTCATGCATTCTCTATCTCCGTGCAGTGCCTCTACTCCCTTTACTCTTTTCTTTTCTTCCACTTCCACTTCCTCTGTTGCTATTGTCATCCTCACACACAACTCTATGCACTTTACCCAGAGACACCTCACGTTCACACTTTCCTGCCATTTCCATTTGGACTATCGTCTTGTTTTTTTGTTCAAATAATCTATTTTTAAATTGCAATTTTTCGTCAGAATTCGACTCCTTGATCATATGATGCCAATTAATTATATATTGAATAAAAGTATATTGTTCAAAATATCCCCTAGCTTATTTTGCACTAACACAACTCCGCCTTACAGCTCGCATCACCCTCTTTTACAACTATATCCACAATTTGTCGTCTTCAGCTTTTTAAAGCCACCCTCCCATTATGGCCGTACAGGTGTTTCAAACACCATCTCTGTGGGCATTGCTCCCTCTCCCCCAAACTAATCAAAATATAACACGTGCAATTCAAATTATGCGTGTCATTAAATCAGATTGATTAATATCAACATGTTGTAGATTAATATATCTTTCCCCTTTCCTCTCTCACAGCTTGCATTTGCTCTCATATTCCTGTTAAAGAAACTCTGTAAATTACCTAAACTTAAAATTAATATAAATTCTTTCTTATCAGTTCAGTTATTTAATTAAATTAATTATGAAACAAATTATTTTTCAAAACTTGTTTTTCATCCTTTTTAATTTTTTTATTCTCTTTAGATGGAAAAATTGAATAAAAATGAGTATGAAATTAGACAAAAAAAAACGCTTTACAAAGAAGAAGAAGCATTTGGAATTTTTTGGCATAATTAATTTTTATATATTACTGATAATTAACAATTTAACACAAGCGGATTTGAAAGTATAGAAGAGACTAAACCTTAAAATATGAGTATTTATGAATTGAATAAGTAGAGGTAGTTGTACAGAGTAATTAAACTTGAATGAATAATACTATATATATATATATAATGTATGATCATATTGATGCATCTTCTCCGTAAGGTTTAGGTAAAGGAAAAAAAGGGTTGGAAGTGGTAGTAGTCCTAGTATTGATAGGAACAGGGAAGCCAACAGCGTTATTAAGAGGAAGCGGCGTGGAGGAAGCGCGTTGGAGCGACTGAACCTGCGTTTTGAGAAACTTGACGTAGTGAATGGCTTCATCGAGCATGGAGGCAGTGTCCATCTTAGTTCCTCCGGGGACAAGTCTCTGCAGTATCCTTATCTTCTCGCTGATCCTCTCTCTGCGGTGGCGCGCCGCCACGCTCTGAGGGTCCTTGGAAATCTTGACGTTCCTTCGCTTGGGCGGCTTCACCGACTCAGGGTCTATGTGTATGGGCTGCATCGCCGCCATTCTGAATATCATCTCCCTCATCGCTGCCATCGAGTTCCGCTTCTCACCCTCGCTTTGTTCTTGTTCTTGAAGCGTTATTATTGGGGTAGGGTTATCTTTGGAGAAAGAGATCCCAGAGGTGGAGGGTAATAAGTGTGTAAATGAAGACCAATAAGGAGGGTTGTTATCGATTAAATCTGCTAGTGGCAGTGGCATGGTGCTGCGTATATCGTTGTTACCATAGAAGTCCTCATCTGGGGGATGAAAGGTGTTGGTGTATGGTTGAGAAAATTGAGGGAGGTGATGATGCTGGTGCATCATCATGTCAAGCTCCTCCTCCTCCGGCTTTAACTGCTCCATCTAAGGGTTCTTTTAACCTTGTTCGCTCAAGGATGGACAAGTATTTAAAGGTTAACTCAGAAGGACAGAGGGATGGGGAAGGAAAACAAAGAATATATATATGTAGGAGTGGGATTATAATTGTATCAGAATGTGCAGTGTGAGAAGCTAGGCCTAATAAGAATGGTGAGAAAGGAGGAGGGACAATAATGAAAAATCAATAAAATAGTGGCATTGGGAATGGAACATACTACACCAAACAATCTATCAACACATGGAAAAATTATTAGGTGGTGAATAGTCTTTAAATAATTTTTATATATAATATATAATTAAATGTAATTATTATTATTTTAAGTTTAAAATTTTAAATATATATTATATGATAATTGATTAAAATTATGGACATTTGATGATGTTGTAGTACTTAATAATTTTTCCTATACCTACACAGGTAATAATGTGATATAAGTTGTCAACATATACTCCTAGCTATTTAGACTCAATTATCATAATGCTTTGGTAAATTTTATTAATACATGAAATAGATAGAATGAAATAACTCAAAGTTTTATATATAAAATATTTAATCACTTTTTTACATTACCGCTTGATCGAATACATACTATGGAAAGTTTTGTGCGTTGTACCAAACATCATTTTTAATTATAGAAAAATTGCTATAACTTCTTTAAAAATTTTGTAAAAATCACATTAATTTTTTTATATATATTTTATTAGTTGTTATGCACTTCTTTTATTTTATAATTTAGTTTTTATATAACACTTCTTTTTATAATAGTTTATTTTTATATATTAAAATTTATTTTCTTTACTATTTAAACTTTGTTTTTTCTATGATTGAAAAAGTGCATGAAATTATTAGTGCGTATTTATGTTCTTGACATAGTATAAATATAAAAAGAAAATGTTATTTATTAATAAACTGCACAAAGACGTAAAATGATTAATTATTTTATCTAAAATTTTTATTAATGATATTAATGATTCACAATTAAGTTAAAAAACTTAAATAACTTTAGCATGTTAAATATGGATGCAACTTTGTAATCCTAACAAATTGTTCCTCTATTAAATATCATAACTAAAAAAAAAATTAATTATACAATGTTTACGGAACTACATTTTTGTTTGTGTACATAAATAAATAAAAAAAAGAGTTGCTTAAATATAAACATTAAAAATAAGAGATAATAACGAAAAGAGTGTTTGTTAATTAATGAATAAAGAAAAAAAGTCATACATATTAAAGATTTATTATTTTGTACTTAGATATTTTTTTAATTTTATTTATATTTAAGAAGTCACATATAATTAACATTAGGGGACGTTTTTGTTTTTCAAATGTTAGAAAAATATAATTAGAAAATGAATGAAAGAGAATATTGTGTCATGGTAAGAATTATTATCCTTAAAGATAATTTTAGGTAGACCTCCAATGCAACTCACTAACCGGTTTGTGTCCCCAAGATTTATAAAGCAACATATTCAAACTTGTGAACTTGAGGTCAAACAAGTCAGAGTCTCATGAACAAACCCAAAATAACAAAAAGTGTGAAGGAAAATTAAAAAAAAAAAAAAAGATAATTTTCTCTGCATTAATATTTACTCTATCACATTTTTATATAGTTAAAGAGAATTAGTCCATCGTCAAATATATATAACTAAGAAATATTTTAATATCAATGATAACGAAATAATTAATATGTAAATGGTAACATTGAAATAATTAGTACATATATATGTCATTATTTTCGCAATCCTCCACTAATAAGTAATAACAGATAAGTGAAAGAGAGAGATAAAACAAATTCTAGCAAGGAAAGGTTCTTGTACTTAAGTGTTAATAAACATAAGGTTGAATTAACATATAGAGCATTGAGGTAACATCTTATGTCCAAAAAGTTAATTATTTTTTAACATAAAAGATTTAAGATGAGACTCTCACAACATACACTTATACCTTTAAAAATGTGGTACGTAATTTCATGAATAAAATTTTACACAATATTTTAAACATTTATATGTATATTCATTCACCTTAAGTTGCTCATGAGTGCTCTATAAAGATAACCAAAGTCTTTCATGGAAGGTAGCTTATGTCTTCCCACTCACATAGGTAGATACTTTAACTTTGTCTTTATAGCACCACACATATTAAGGACTATATATCTATTAAGAGTTCATGATTCAACCTCACATAAAATACTACCAAATATCATAGGGGTGAGAAACATAGTAAATATAAGTATTTATATGGATTTGTTTGATCACTAATTAGATATTCACCATATTTTTCTTTCCTCATATCTCAAAGCTCATCCACTTGACATATTCAAGATAACTTTCATAAATAAACCCTTTTATGAAAAAACTTTTTTTTTCTTTTTACATGAAAAAAATTAGAGAAATAATTTGTCATTTAAATAAACTTCAAAAAAGTTCAATGCAATTTACCTTTTAATTAGCTGTAATAAATTCTACTACTAACAATACATACTAATTAATTCATAAAGATATATTTGTAAATTAAGTTTAACTTTTGTGGCTAGTTGGTTTAAAGATTTTTTTACATCGTTAACCAATCTAAATAAGTCATTTTAATAAACTAATACATTGTGATTTCTTAATATATGTAAGAGCTATTTTCTCTTGTAAATTTTGAAACAATTTACTTTGGGCAAAATTGGTTCTGGACTAAGATCATCCCCGAGAATTCAAAGATTTGTTTAAGGAAGAGTGTGAAATAATCATAGCCTAGTTATAATAAATATTGAATAGATTTACTTATAATTTAATACTTATTTTATAAAATAACCAGCAAAAATAATATTTTATAAAATATTAATTAAGAGAATCAATAAAATTATCAGGATGATTAAAATAATCTATCAGAATATCTATCTAGTGCATATTTTAAGCGGAAGGTAGTCTTTTCTTGTATGATGATTCTTAACGCCTAAAGTTATGCTTTGCAAAGATATCAAACCGCGCGAAAGTCATTGACCAAATTATGAAGGGAGGATCATTGTGTTGAAGCCATCCATGCAGGATGCTACGTGCCATTCAATTTGAAGGTCATGTATCTTGATAGATAAGATCTATTTGTCTAAAATAATTATTGTCATCTTTTATTTATTGGGACGTTTACATATTAAATGTTATTGGGTTTATCTAGTCTTCTTTAGACTGATTTGAGCAAGCTTGTTCATTGCACCTTACATGCTTAATTGTTTACGGAAATTTAATTCTTAATAATAGTACTATAATTAACACTATAAATTATTCTAAAAGAATTGTTTTCAAGCAATATATCATAATTCTAAATATTATATATGCATGTTCGGGCCTTCAAGAAGATTTAATAAGAATTTTGAACAAAATATGCACAAGGCTCCACTAATATATATACTACTAAATTGAAAAAATAAATGAAATAATGAAAACGTCTTTAAGAATATTTTTAATACAATAATCCAATTTATGTTTTTTAGTCCCTTTCTTTTCTATATAAAATTTAAGAACACATATATGTATACCAAATCTTACACCAATGCAAAAATCTCATTAACTTCGATCGATTCTTAACTTATTTTTTAAATATGAGTTTCTCAATGAACTTTGCATCTTTATATTTTAATTTAAGTTTATTTTTATTATATAATAAAATATTAATTCATCATCCTAACAACACTCTCTCCCAAAATTCCTTCCTCCCAAGCGCTCCCTTTTTGATGTTTCTCAAGGTTGTGTCCAAAAGGTTTTGGTTTGAAGGGAAAAAAAATAGAGATTTAATGCGATATACATTATCATTAATCTTCTAATTTTAAGAGTTGATAACTCATTTATGAAAATTTTATATGAGTTAATAACTTATATACTGTTAATGTAAAAAAAAAATTATACCAATAACTAATCATATATTTTAATAATATTTTTTTATTTTAATTTAATTAAATAAATAAATAACATGACACTACTAAAAGATATGATTGGTTGTCAGTATAAATTTTTTTTTACACCGACAGTGATTAACTCATTTTATATCCAAGTTATTTTAATATATTTAGCATTTTTGTTACTAATAAATAAGATAATAAATTTATTAGATATATCTATCACACCACATTGTTAATATTAGATTAAATTTAAATATCTTAATTTTAAATATATTTTTAGGTAATAGCAATAACTGCATTGTAAATTAATAATATTAAGAAATGCAATTGTAATCTTTTTATATGACGACACAAATTTTTATTAAAGTATTAATTTCTATTCTTAACACTTTTCTAAAAGAAATTTTTACAATAATCTTTTTTTAAAAATAAATAATGAAGTACATTGATATTAGAATATTCATTAAATTTAAATAAAAACATTTTAAGATTACTATATTATTTTTCTTTTCATCCTTATAATAAAATTTATTTATTTTAAGTTAAATTAAAAAATATTTTTAGATTTTGTTATGATATTAAAATCACTTTAGTTTAGGAACACCTGGATTGCACAAGTTCAAAAAACTTTTAAAATGTGTTTGTCCTTTCTCCCTGGTCACGAACTCTAAGTTTTATACACATATTGTTACATATCCTAGAGTTTTTGTGGAGAAATTTTTTATAAAAAGAGTGATTAGTTATCCACCCCTTTCTCTTGAATTTGGGGTTAAGCTCAGTGGGGATATACTTGTTAGAATACAAGGGTGTGCAATTGTCCCACAAGATTTATTTATTTTATTATGTTTAATAAATTTATTTTGCTTCAATAAAAAATAGGTAATTATCTTCATATTATATATATATATATATATATATATATATAAACAAAGTTAGGTATTGAATTTTCGGATTGTTGGAGCACTATCCTAAAGGTCAGATGGTTCTTGTTTATATTTATACCGTTCTCCAAAAATAATAATAGACTATATGAAAGAATTATAAATATTTTTTAAACTAAAACTTCATAAAAGAAATAGATTTATCTGCTATTTATATGAAGTACTTTGTAAATTCATATTCCATTTGATACATGTTTTGAAAATCATACTGAATCAACTAGTCAGATCAATTCGACTGGAAACCAGTCCTTAATCGGTTCAATTGGTCTAGAAATTTGATTTGATTTTTAAAAA